TTTTGTATTGTTTTATACTATTTGCATGTTAATATCTTCGAATGATGCAGTTCGCTCCAGTTGCTTAATCTTAAGGCAAAGATAAGTAGTCTCATCAATATATGTATGTAAAAGATCGGTTTCCAGGATTCACTTGTTTTTCACTTGTTGCGCTTACTTCTATTTACAGTTAAGGTCTCTGATGAAGAGATTAGAAGGTAGATCCCAACAGAGGACGACGGGAAGCAAGTATTTGCACAAAGCGATCAGTGGCATCTCAAAATAATTATAACTAAGGTTTCTAAACAGTGTTTCCTTGATTCGTTAGCTACAATATGGTTGCAAGAACACTACCCTGCTCTGGTAATGTCCATCGCGTGACAGACGAGATACTAGTAAGTTTTTGCTGGATTCGAAAGAGACTTCTCGGGATACAGTGCCAACAAGGGTGCTTTCGTAAAGCCAGTAGACAGCTGGCCAAGAGGAATCGGTCGTTGTCTTAAGTTAGGACCAACTTTAGAGTCTCTTTATCACACACTTATGCTCAAAATGGAAGTAAGCCCAATACCACTAATATACAAAATGAATAAAGTGAGGCTAAGGAAAAAAAGGATAATTCAGCCTACCCGATTCTGGCGAAGAAGGTACAAGGAGACCAACGGATCCGTGCTTTTTGCAATCGACTTTTGGCGAGATCGGATAGCCGTGAGTAACTTTCTCTGCAACGGATTCAGCTTGCGGATGGGGAAAGAGAGAACGACAGATTCGGGTAGATGGCAAGATAAAAGACTTGGTGATATTTAAAGCAGAAATGGCAGAATTAACTGCGCTGTGATTGTTAGATGAGTCCGCTGCCTCAGCGGAGATGGCGCTAAGGCTTTCTGTGGTAGAGGCCTTGGGGTAAGTTGCTGAAAAGACAGGCGACCTATTCTCAGTCATAAGGGTGGATGAATCACTGGGTTCTCCTGACGACCGATTGACGAAACAAACCTGAGTAAAATTATCGCCTTCGGTCAAATTATCCCAAAGCCCCACTTGCGTCTTTTGCTCCTCTTCACGGGTCTCTAACACCTTCGCAAATGACATCGCTGTTCTTTTGGCTTCTGGACACAGGCCCCTTTCAGCACGACTAACAGTTGAGGTGTCAGCTGTAGGAGGTCGTTTTCTTGCTTGCTCAATTAAATTGTCTATGATATGGGTCTTGGAGGCTTGGATGCTAAGGTGACAGCCAGATATAGCTTCTGTGATCGAATGATTCGAGGGATCTTTTGCATCGTTGGTTTGTTCAATGTGGCAAAGTTCATTGTCATCAAGAAAATCATCAAGTAGCAGTTGCCTTGGGATTGCGGGATTCTGCTCAAGAAATAGAAATGAATAACAAGAAGTGGCAGAAAGAAAAATTAGACTATTGTCCAGCGCATTTCCTAAAATCAATTTCCACCTTTGTCACTGGAAGATTTAATAAGATTCCTTCAGAAACATTTAGGCAATCTCCTATATTGCCTAATTTAATCACAATCTTATAACTGCATTAGATATGTATTTAGAGGTTCTAGGTCATCGCTAGTATGTCTATCAACTATTGTGACTCATCTACAATACCAGAATCAGATTCGATGACTGTCAATTCAATTTCCTAGCTTTATTGGCGTATGTCAGTTCTTATAATAACCCAAGCATATGCTGTCTTAATAAACGAGAACTAAGGTGTAATCGAACTGGTTCCTTACTCTGTATAAGCTAAGATGAAGTAACTCTAGTTCTCATAAGTGCCCTGGTAATGGTCGAATTTGCTGATCGGCCAAAGTTGAT